CGAGTGGGTTCTCGCGTTCGCGTAAGAGGAATTTGGACAGTAGCATAATTTGTGCTTGGCAAACGCGAGGCACTTTCCGCGTTCGCGAAGAAAAAATCACTAGGCAACAGAATAAAAGTTCAAAAACGAGGGTTCATCTCATTTTTCATAATTTAGACCTAGAGAGCTCGGTGTGAGGCGATTTTTCGAGGGTATTTCAAGGAGATTGTTGAGGTAAGTGATTCTAACCTGTATTGGACTATATTTTATGAATCTATTATTATTTTCAATATCTAATTAGGGATTTGAGTTTGAAATTTGGGGAAAATTTGTGAAAACTTCCTAGACTAAATTTTGGAGTTTTGAAAGGAGATTTAGTCGGGTTTCGAGACGCGGGTCCAAGATGACGTTTTGAGTTGAATTTTTATTTCTTTTCAAAGATCGTAACTTTATTATTTGAATTAGCTTCCTATAGTTTATATTTAGGGTATGAAGTTATTTTGGCTAGATTCGAGCCTTTCGGAGTTCGATAATCGAGGGAAAGGCCTACTAGTGGATTGAGTTAGCGTGTTTTGAGGTAAGTGTCTTGCTTAACCTTGTGTGGGGGAACTACCCTTAGGATTTGGTGTTGTTTGTGATAATTGTGATGTGTGGAAGCCGTGTACGCAAGGTGACGAATGTGTACACAGGCTAAATATGAAAATTTATCGGTTTTAGCTATGCAGATTACTTTCATGCCTTAATTGAGTTACTTAACATGTTATATTCATCATCATTAGTCTATTTTTACATGTTCTACTTGTCTTATCTCTTACTTGCTAATTGTTCTACATGTTTAGTTGAAATTCTTGTTTCCCTTATTCCATATTCTTTATTTAACCGTTGAAATCTTTGCTTGAAGTTATTATTCTTGTAATATCTTGTTGTTGAAATTGGTATTGAGTTATAAAGGCTGTGATTCACATTGAAACAAAGTGTTAAGTTGTGAAATACTATTCTGTTGAGTTATTCACTTCCGGTTATTATTGTTGAGACTCTTGTGTACATTGTGGTTGAGCCATTGGCTCTTTACTATGAAAATATTGTTATTGTTGGTTTCTTTGGCAAGTTATGTTATTGGGCACTTGAGGTGCGATTTATGATACGTCGTGATATTGATATGCATGCGGTGGTATAAGGTTTTGGGGTTGAAACGCATGCGGTGAGATAAGGTGGGCTTGATACGCGTGACTAGTAGGGGAACTACTAGAAGTCATGTGGTGTGATAAAGTGGTTCATAAAACGCAGGATGCAATTCGGGAAAATGATTTTTAAAATCAAATACAAGGCTCCCGCGGTAATATAAGAAAATATGTTGAATTGATTTGTGATTGAGACTACGAGGCGGTACCTCGGTAGTGACTATTGTTGATACTTCTATTTCATCACTTGTGTTCTATTGTTTTGTTTCTTGTTATAGATCCCTTGTTTTCTTCTGTAAAGTATTATTTGCTTTAGTTCAGTGTAGCTATTCTCGGTGTACTTCTTTAATTGCCTCATTTCTATTGTTGTCATTATTTCACTGTTATACACTTGTTCAGTTTCTTATTTATTCCAGTAGGGCCTTGACCTGACCTTGTCACTACTCTACCGAGGTTAGGCTTGGCACTTACTGGGTACCGTTATGGTGTACTCATGCTACACTTTTGCACATCTTTGTTTGCAGATCGAGGTACCTCCTACCAGTCTAGGCACTAGCGAGAGCCCGATTTTCGGAGACTTCAAGGTATACCTGCCGGCGTCCACAGGCTTTGGAGTCCCCCTCTACCTAGTTTATTTTATTCACTTATCCTTTATCAGACAATGATGTATAGAGATATTTAGTATCACTTCATAGAGCTTGTGACTTTTATTTTGTCGGATTTTGAGAAATTATATACATACTGAGTTGTGGAGATTTTCCTTATATTAACTTTTGAGTTTTGAGACTTTAATTATTGTTTCAGTTATTTCTGCATGAATGTTAGGCTTACTTAGTCATTGAGACTAGGTACCATCACGACATCTTACAGAGGGAAATTGGGGTCGTGACACAAAACTTGAACAAAGATAAGTTAGACAACTAAGAGAAATATACTAAAAGAGACACAAATATTTAACGTGGTTCGGTCAATTGACCTACGTGCACGGACGGAGATGAGCAATCCACTAAATAAAAGAGAGTAAAACAACCTTACAAGTAGGCAAACACAAGTGACAAACTAGCACTTGTCCCCAAAAGTTCTCCCCCTAAACAAGACTCTCAAATCCCATATGGCTACATTGTGGATGCTATTGAATGAGAAGGAAGGATCCTCAATTTTTAGAAGTCCAAACCTTTTCCTCAAAGAAAAGGGACTAGCCAAATATGGGAGATTTATATGTTCCTTCTAAAAAAGAAAAAGAAAATTCAATTATAGTAAATATTTTGTCCTTTCCTTCAAGAGATATGAAAACCAAATATGGTAAGAAAATCAGGACAACACCTAACAATTCTCATCCTTGACCTGAATTTTTTGACAAATAAATTTGATCCGCCTTTTTCATATAACCTTCAACAGCTCGCATCTTCAAATCTCCACCACAACGTTTGTCTCAACTTGAGTAGCACTCCAGTCAAATTTCTTAGACAAAAATTATGATTACCGTCAAATACGTTGCGACTAGAACTAAACCTCTCAAGATGAACCTATCTTGAACCTCCCTATTTTAGGCTATCTTCTACCTTAACAACTAGTATCAGAGCCCAGGTTCGGTGGGACAAGTATGGAGATAGCAAAGTGATGGTGCGGGCCGGCGCGCACACAAGAAGAAGCTAGTTGCGGACTTCGATTGCCATAATACTCTAACAATGTGGGCAGCACACAGTTAATCTCGAAAATTGACCCATGGATCGTGGTAATGAGTCACGTAGAACTTAGTTCAAGGGGAGACCCGTGGATCGTGGTGATGGGCCACGTGAAACTTAGTTCGAAGGGACGATTGTTGGGTGTGCAAACAAAATCCCACATTGGTAGCTGAAAAGATTGGGAGCCTACATATAAGATGTATAAATCTCTTTAATGGTGTGAGGTCTTTTAGAAAAAACCGTGCGGACTTGACCCAAATTGAACAATATCACACAATGTTAAGAGTGTGATTGGACCGTTTTAGCCCAACAGTGCCATCGAGAAATACGACCTTACCAGTACATAAAACAAAACCAATGAAGAACCATAGATCAGTAAGATGTGCTGACTAGCAAAAGATCTACTGCACCAAGACTAAGCTTTTAAAATGTATAAAGACTAGAACCTTTACAAAAGAAGGGTACCAGGTACAAAGAATCTTGTACAAAAAAATTGCTAACAACTTTGTGCCTTAAATTAGGAACCTGCATCCTGTCGAGTCTGGAGTGGCCAATAGCTTACTTGGGAAGGTTCATTTGATAATCAGTCTAGTATCAGTGTCGAAGTGGGAACAAAATTGGAAATATTTACACAAAAATTCTCAATATTGCGCCTATATAAACTCTGTTAAGATGAATGCTTAATCATTCACTCAACCTCTCTTTCGGGCTTTAAGATATAGTTCCTATATCATTAGGATGGCTTTCAATTTTTGCCTTAAAATTGGTATTGTCCTTTTTTCCATTCTTAATCTATGTTCTTTCAAAGTTACGTCCCGTGACCAACAAGAGCTATCCATGCAGGAAAGGCATGAGAAATGGATAGTCCGTCATGGACGTGAATGCTTTTTACTGATTGGTCATTGTTTTCGTAAGAGTATGAGATGAATATATTTTGAGAGGCAATTTGTGTTGTAATGAGTCCATAAATATACTTTGTTGACATTAAACTAAACTTTATTTTAAACTATAGTAACAAGCTGTTTTTACAGTATATTGTTGAAATGAATGGGAAAAAATGGACATTGAAGTGGCGCCGGTAGATATGAAATGGCATGTTTAAGATCTTGGTCCGCCCTTATATTGATAGCAATGAAATTGTATGTTTATGATCACGAGATTAAAAATTTATTTTTGGTATGTTATACAGACATTTTGTTTTAAATCACAGGATTCAAAAGTTTTCTTTACCTTCTTAACTAAATTTTGTGCATAATCAAATTAAGACCATAAAATTGTGTGATCAATATTGCTTCTAAATAGAAGTAATGGTTATGTTAGAACAACGACAATGGAGATTGGTTTAATTAAGTACATTCTCACTTCGTAGTCAAGGATAGTGGTTCCTTTAATTTCCATGTCCTTAGGGGAACTGTAATAAGCAGAAACAGGAAGCAAATTAGGAAAGAGATAGCTTAGCAGGACGAAGAGTTTGCAACTTAGCTTATTTTGACCTTGGCGTGATACTTCCTTTCATATAACTCCTTTGGTACTGAGAATCCATGTTCATATATTATTAAGATGATATTAAAATTATGATCCATCTAATATGAAGTGTAAGTGTGTGGGATTAGTATGCAAACCCTATTAATTAATTTCCTTTTCCAACTAACTCTACTAATTAAGAAACATAAAACATTGGGAAATGGCCAGATTTGATCTAATTAATAATTTTTCATGTAACATGTTAAGGCTTTTGAAGGGAAGATTTATTTTTTTGGGTGAGTTAATGGATAATGTTTGATGTTCGAGCTGGAAAACAGATAAGAGGCATGTATATAACTGCAAATCTGCAATAATATTCGACAAAACAAAACGGAATTAGTACATAGTATTGATATGCAATTTTCTTAGCTAGGATTGATTACTATTTTATTGACTTGCAAGTGTTACCATTAATTCGAAGCAAGTTACTGTCAAGGAAGAAAAATCTACTTGTCTAAACGCCTATTATTTCATACTAGTATATCCATGCATACGTAGGCCACAAAAAGCTGGAAAAAACATAGGTGGACCCGTACAGAAAATGAAATGGCATGAGAACTTAGCTTGCTCCATCAATTCTTCGATCAACATCATAGTGGGAACGCCTATCGCATATTGTGGAAAATAATTCACATTTACTCCTATAAATGCCTTTTCATAAAGTTTTAGTTTCAGGAATTCTGATACCTCATCTTTTCTTTTGGTATAACATAGTTTCAGATTTTAACAATGGCATTGAAATTTTGCAGGTTAAGCCTTGTTGCAATTTTGCTAGTGGTCGGAATTTTTGGGTTCCAGGCCACATCCCGTGACTTGCAGGTGTATTCCATGCTCGAAAGGCATGAAAAATGGATGAGCAACCATGGACGTGTGTATAAAGATGATGTTGAAAAGGCAAAGCGATTCAACATATTTAAAGAACATGTCGACTTTATCGACTCTTTCAATAATGATGCAACTCATTCTTACCAGCTTGGCCTCAATAAATTTGCAGATCTTACTAACGAGGAGTTCCAATCTATGGTTGGTAAATATAATAATCTATCTTTCATTCCAAAGACATCAAATTTGCAACCATTCAGCTACGAAAGTAAAATTACCATTCCTGATAGTTGGAACTGGAGAGAGAAAGGTGCTGTTACTGACGTCAAAGACCAGGGTAGATGTGGTAAGTCGATCCCAACAGAAAAAAAAAACGAATCAAAGTGCATATTAATTACTTTTTATACTGTAGTTGATATGTTATTACTCTATTTTTTCGGTTATTATTGTTGTAAAGAGTTACCTAGTACTCGATTAATTTGATGATATAAAAAATCAATGCACTGTGTCACTTTGTCGGTCCACAAAACCTAAACTCCAAATCAATTGATAAATTACTAGCTAGTCATATTACTTGAAAATTAAAAATTATATTGCAGGGTCATGTTGGGCATTTTCTGCAGTAGCAGCAGTGGAAGGAATAAACCAGATAAAAACTGGTGATTTGGTTTCACTATCTGAACAACAACTTCTAGATTGCGAGAACACAAATAACGATGGTTGTGGGGGTGGTATCAGGACTGAAGCATTTGAATACATAGCTGAAAACGGAGGTCTCACAACAGAATCAAATTACCCATACACAGGAATCCCGGGGACATGCGATAGTCAAAAGGCAGAATCAAGTGTAGTTACAATATCAGGATACAGAAGTGTGGATGCAAGTGAATCAGCACTGTTACAGGCAGTGGCAAATCAGCCAGTCTCTGCAGGTATTACTATCGGCAGTGATGAATTTCGCTTTTACAACGGTGGAATTTTCAATGGGAAATGTGGGATGACTTCGCGTCATGCAGTGACAGTGGTAGGGTATGGAACAAGTACTGAGGATGGAATTAACTATTGGTTGGTGAAGAATTCATGGGGAGAGAAATGGGGTGAAGGTGGATTTATGAGAATGGCTAGAGATATTGAAGATGGTGGAGTTTGTGGCCTTGCTACTCGGGCTTCTTTCCCTACTGCTTAATTAACGCTTAATTAAGCCCTAAGTGTCGTATACTCAGGCACAACCATACTATGTATGTTGGACCTTGCATTCTCGTTTTCTTCTAAATGAGTATCCTGTTTCTTGTGACATCAACTTATTAATAAGAATTTTGATAACTTTTATTAAAAAAATATAATCTTTATTTGTTCTGAAATAATATTTCATGGTATATAATCTTGTGTCCCTTCCAGGACTATCATTTAATACGACTAACTTCAATTAGAAAGTTACGTTGGATGAAATATGAAGCTTGAAACATCTAGTTCCTGGAGGCCAGAGGACACAAAATTAGTACTAGGTCACTTTCCCATCTTAAAGCCAGTCAAACTAATTTAATTTGCAACTTCGTAGTGGAAATACGCGTAATCTGGTAGGAGTTACTCTAGAGCAAAGTCTAATTGTTATGACTCAAATTAGTACGGGCAAATTCAGATTTTTAAGAGGATTGATGCACTATTATATGAAAAGATGAATCCAAAATTCACTATTTAGGTTAAACTTTTGAGTTTTTACTATGATCTTATTATATTTTTGAAATTATATGTTCAAATACATTTTTTTCTTCTAATTTTAGTATCATATCTACACTATGCGTCGCAATTGTTTGGATTAGCTAAACCGTCGACTATATGATACATCCTCTTCTCCTACAAGTTTTAAAATTGACCTCTGATTTGACTATATAAAAGTAGAATAGGAATTTTAATCTGTCAAAACTTGGAAATTTTGAAAGATCAAATCAAACAAAAATTAGAAAACAAATACTTAATTGAGATTTCATACATGGTCATAATTCCGATGGGTGGGCACAATTTTTTTTTTTAAAAGGACAAAACGAAAGGAAAAAATAGCAATGCCGACATAGGATTTGAAATTCCAACTTTATTTGCACATATGCACCTAGAAATCATTGCATCATATCATAAGATTCTTTGTGCTAGAATACGCACATGTATATTTAAGTAATTTTGGACAGATATACGCATTATTATAATTCTCTCCATTCACTTTTACTCGTCAACAATTGACTTTACGCCTCTTAAGAAATAATAATTGTAGTATGTATTTTACCATATATTACCTCCGTTTACTTTTACTTGTCCATTATGGCCTTTGCACACCCCTTAAGAAATAATAAATGATGTACATAATTTATCATGATACCCATATTAATTTATGCATATTTTTAATGGATTTAAAAAAATAATTTGAAATGAGTAATTAATACTGTGGGTATAACAGGAAAAAAAATTGTCTTCTCTTGATATGCTAAAAGTGACAAGTAAAAGTGAGTAAAAGTGAATGAAGGGACTAACTCCTAATACTGATAAATAGTCTCAATAATTGATACAGTGCCCCAAGTATGGTTGTTGAAAAAAAATATCTTTCTCTTGATTTGCTAAAATGTACAAGTAGAAGTAAAAATCTATTTTTAGCATAGTGGACAAGTAAAAATGAACGTAAGAAGTGTAATATAAGAAAATGAGTATGGCTTCACATGAATCGACAACGAGAAAATGAGCCTTCATGACCATTTACAATGTTGAAATTAAGAAAGTGTTCTTTTTAAAATCTCTTATGTGTAAAAGAAAGATCTCTTATGTGTAAAAAAATATAGGATCATAAAATTAAAAACAAGTTTGTATAGACCGTCAACAACCCTTCACCCAAATACGCCCAACTCAAAGTCGTCATGTTGCCTCCATCAGGACGCTATGGAAACTTTACCTGAGCCTCCAGCCCTCCACAATGTACCGCAACACAATATTGTAAGGGGTCGTTTGGTAGGGTGAATAAGAATAGTATAGAATATAGTGTATTAGTAATGCAGAGATTAGTAATGCATGGGTTAGTAATGGAAGCATTAGTTATGCAGATATTATTTTTTATAAACTGTTTGGTGTGGTGTATTAAAAATTATAATGCATTGCATAATTTTTAAGAAAAATAGTTGTTTACAAAAATGCCCTCCATATTCTCTAGCTTTAAGGGACTTTAAGGATAATTTTATCTTTAACCATACTAATGCATTGCATTAATAACCTTGGTATTACTAATGTCATGATTTTTTATGCATTACTTATACATAGGCTAATACCAAGTATGATGTATAACTAATGCAAGTATTAGTTATATATAGGTTGAAAAAATGTACCAAACAAGGTATTAGTAATGCACAAAGCTAATGCTTGCATTATTTTTTCTAATACCTCCTACCAAACGACCCCTAAGCGCGTTGCGGTGGTTATGTGCGCACCAGAATCAGGGGCATACTCAAAATAATTTGTAAACGGTGTCGAAAACTATAGAAGAACGAGAATAATAATTTTAAATATCATATTTTAGACAAAAAATAGCTTAGTCTAATAATTTTGTTGATTCTTAAGTTAGAAAAGGTCTTAAGTTCAATTTTACTTCATCACAAATTTTAACCACATATGCTCTCTCAAATATTTACAAAAAAAATGCATTAGTTGAGGTTTAACCCTCTAATCTCTTAGAGCAAAATCAAACACATAACCAATACGCCAAGAAATAATTTATGTTAAGTAGTGTCATCTTTTCCAACTTATTTGCTTCCTCACCGTATTAATATATATATATTTAGTAACAAAAATTAACGAAGCGGTGTCGCGTGACACCGCTTGATTAAATGTGCATCCGCCCCTGACCTGAATGGTTTTTCCTCCTTTTTCTTTGTTCTTAGCTTGCTCCAACAAATATATCTCTTGTCCACAGAAAATTTTCCATGTCAGAACACACTGCATCTATTTAGAGTCATAATATAACATGCTCTGGGATCAGAGTTCTATTACATTCAAACTTCACTTCCTTAAGTTTTAAAAATAGCATTTGCATAATAATTTCAAACTAAATCAAGCGTATTACAAGTCAACTTTTATAGATAAAAATACTTAGAAATGTTCTTAGCCTTTTCTTTTTTTTCCCCTTCATGCTCTTATTTATGAATTTCCTTTGGAAATGCTCTTAGCCTTTTCTTTCCTCTCAAAGACTTATAATTATTGCGAAGTTGATAACAATAAGAAATGAAAGTGAACGGAAAAGAACAAGTGAAGGCAACATATTCCTTTAAAAATTAATTAGCTACGTTACGTCTTCATGTGGTTGGAGGGTCTGTTAGTATTCCCTCTTAAGACGATTTCTGAATAGTTGGACTTCTTTGAATTATATAAATACTACCCAAGTAAAAGGAAATAGGCCAAAAATGAAAAGGCACAAAAAGTTTAGTAGTTGTGAGTTGTGACAGCAGCAACTTATTGCAATATATTTGGTTCCTAAAAAAGGAAGCAGAAAGATGCAGAAGAAGCAAGGAAACTGAAACTAAAGTGGTTTATATTTCTAAAACAAACTTTTAAAAAAAACTGTTCATCATTTACTTTCAAATTTTAAATTTTTTTATTTAAAGGATGCAAAAAAAAAAATCAGAATATTTTCTGGAAAATATTTCTCTAATTACCTATTAAGAACTGTAAAAATATCAATATATATAAATTAAACTCTCTTCAATTGATTTAACTTACAATTATTGTCAGTATCACAAAAGTTTAACATTATCAATACATTTACCTGTTTCCAGTTCCACGCCACTCCTATTTTACTATACCAAACAAGACAAATGGCCAAATACCAACCTCTATTCGACACAACAACGAAGCATTAAGGAATATGGTAAAGAATGAAAAACACGTATACAAATTAAGGAAAGTCAACTACCCAACAAGCAAGAACTTTCCAACTTATTTCCCTTCTCTCTTCTCCCTGCAGCTTCATAGAAACCCAAGAATTTATCAACTCGTAGAACAGCCCGAGAAACATCTTCAGCATTTGAACATCATCACTTCGACGACTACACGTTTATACCTGACTCTTGACAAAGAAAATTAACGTCTTCAACTGGCCATAATTTTCAGAGTATATATAAATGGCCGGGAATCTCATCGGAGGTGCAGCTTTAGGACAAGCATTCGGAATGTTATCCGAATCAATCTCACAAGCTGGCCAAACTTCCGTCTGTTTCGATTCCAATTTTAGACGACTAAATTCGATCCTACTGTCAGTTAAGCCTGTGCTTGAGGATATAGAGAGACTGAACAAAGCCTTGGAAGGCAGAGAATCAGAGATTGAGATATTCAAGAAGCGATTGGAGGAAGGGGAGAAGCTTGTTCGTAAATGCTCGAAAATCAAACGTTACAATCTGTGTAAAAGGTGGTACTATTCTAGGAAATTGGCGGATCTTGAAAACTCCACCCTCAAGTTCTTTTCGGTTCATGGCTTAATACAAACATGCAGAGATCGGAAACAAATACTTGTTGCACTCAAAGAAGAAGGCGAGAAGTTGGACGAAATTTACTCAATTTTGAAGAATATGAAGCTTGATAAAAGCCGACAGATCTCTTCCAGATAAACTGCATATTATCTGCCATCACCAGCTAGCATGTTTCGTTATATATCCTACTCTTCTACTGTTCTACATGGTCACGACTCACGGTTGTCAGAAGATTAATTTTCACTTATGTCAAACTACGATTTTTGCTTCACGTATACAATCTCACACATCATAAAAAAAGATGTAGTCATACATAAATAATGCAATTTTTTTTTTACAACTGGGATTTCAGATTCATCAATTGATAATGTAAAAAAATGCTTACAATCTAGTCATGTAAATTTAAAAGCTGCTTGCTTCTTGCTAGAAAGTTTCGGGTATAAGTTGGTGGAGTTTAAGTTGGTAATAACGTACAAAAGTTGGTATGCTTTTTAAGTCATTCAAATTAAAGTGATTGTGTAAATGCGTGAAGAAATGTTATTCATATAGCTATTTATATTCCTGAGACGATGTTTTTTTTGGTCTAAATAAAATTATGAGAAGCATATTTGTGCAAGTACTCTACCTTTTCTTTTATTTCGATCAATTCCAAAATTTTCTTCATTTTGTGGAATTTGGAATCGCAGGGTCATCATAATGAATAATGTGGAAACATTAAATTAAAAAACGCATAGTTTTTGTCGAACTAACGTTTTGATTTTGAGAAAGACATGTTCAAACAAAACTTAAAAGTAAAAGCGTATAATAGATGATAGACAACTATCTTTATATTTTAGTAA